CTCAGTTTTTGAGATATCGATCTAAAATTATGCCCTTTTTCTCTTCTCTCTAAGAAGCTACTCTATTGTCGGAACCCGCCGATATTAGAGCACCATTATCATATAGCTGCCATACAAACGAATTGATCAAATTCAAGCCTAAAGAACTTACCGACCTAAACGAGCTCAGTTCTTCAAAAGTATAGCCCTTGGCCGGATAAAATCCGGGTCAATTCCCGTAACGTGAACCGGCTGTTTTGGGAATTTCTGTGCGAGTTATTAAGTTTAAGTATTAACGATGTGTTACCCGACGGCTGCTCAAAATGCCAAGGAATTGCTCACCACTTACCGTAACCAATGAGGTGGTTCAGAGTGTCAGTGATACAGTCAACCGCACCGAAAAATCTACTATCCCTCCAGGGTTGAAGAGGTGAACTATGAGCTACCGAACTCGACAATTATCCGTACTGTTTCGAGGTAAAAACTCTTAATTGAGAATAATTAAACATTGAGTTCCGCATGGTGGTGTCCTTTTCCCGTTGCTGTTTAACTTCTACTTCTCGAAACGCCCTCAACCACCAGGGGAAATTTATTTCACCTCGTACCCCGATGATTGCACGATATTGACGTCGAACAACGTAATCGATAGCATGTGCTTAAAATTGAACGGCTATCTCTCCGAACTTAATCGCTTCCTCGCTGCACGGAACTTAACACTCTCCCCTACTAAATATACAGGGACCATATTCACTAACTGTAAGAAGGAGTACAGATTTGACCTTAATAATGCAGGCGATGGCGTTAAAATTCCGACTGTCAATAACCCTAAGAATTTAGACGTGATATTAGACAACCTGTACTCCTTAATCGTCCTCACACGACCGTGGTTATTGGTCGCCTGGATGCAGCGAAACGCAGACGAGGAAGCTACAGACATGCCACAACACTGCAGTCCGAAMAACGGGATGCCTTTTGATGTCTCCCTTCGAACATCCTGCAGAGTGAGGCACAGAGATGCTTCCAGTCAAACCACCACCCATTGCAGACGACGAGCTCAAGTTGYCGCGAGAATCGAGAGTGTCCTTTGCGCATATTTGTACTGGATACGAGAACTGTAGCAGGTTAAATCCCTACTTAAAAAATAGACCCTGACATACATACAAAATATATGTCTAGCGTGCAATGAGTCGCCACATGACATGAACCCACCTCTTTGTACGCCAAGCTAACCTTACACATCTGAGACCCCTCTCCCTATGGTCCGACCCTGTCGGCGCACGCTTCCTAAGCCTACCGTGACGACGACGACAACTTTTCTATCCTCATCATCCTAACGGCAAATAAACAACCGTTACAACAACATCAATCGATGAGAATCCTTTCATGCTATAGAATGTATTTGGTAAAAAATACTTATAAAAATTTATAAATTTTTTCAAATTAATTTATTTAAACATATTTGAATTCCGCTTAGCAAAACTTAAGTTTAAATTGATTACGTTTCTTTTTTCGCAAGTTTTTTTTTTTTTGTGATTTTTTTATTGACTAGTTCATTTTTATATTTTCACATTTTTCAACTTATACGTAAAATAAGGCAACTCAGTTTATATTACTATGTACATATATGTAAATCTATCACTACTCGCAAATATTTACTATAAACTAGGAATGTTTTGCTTAGCTTTCCACCTCATGGAAGCAAAGTGTAGGCGTACACTAGTCGCTSCTTAGCGGCAACTGGGCGGCATTTTTTTTACATTATTTGTTCGTTGGTGCTTTCTTTCAATTATAACTTTACCGTTATTATTTTGTATTATTTTATAACAAATTATTCTATAAAACAGACAGCAAGTTGCATGCTTGTGCAATAACTTTGTGCGTTCTTACATGATTGCGTGTTGGTATACATATTTGTGACGTCGACTGTACATTTAGTGATTTGTAAAAATTGTTTGTAAATATTTGTGATTAAAAAACAGTAATGTACCATATATTAAGCAAACACAACGTATTCTGCAGATTTTAAGCAGCTAATCGTTTTAACAAAATAAAATAATACTTTTTAATTAAAATTATTTTACATAATATAAAATAAAGTATCTAAGCTAATCCATATCAAATAAGTAAAACAAAACTAACACAATTCTATATGAGAAACGATCCAAACAAAAAAAAAAAAAAACACACACAGCAGGCATTATAACTCAGTCGTGATTTCGTCCTGTGGTCGAAAGCCCAATTTGTAGAATTCGTCTTCCAGCCATAACGAACTCGCATTGAGATCCGATATCAGATTCCCACTTTTGAGCGTGTTGAAGCTGCTGCCGAAGGGATCGGAAGGGCGCGGCTCYTCAAATTCATGCAAGCTAATGAGCGAGCCGAACATGTGCAGCTTTTGCTGACCGGAGCCCGCCAGCATGCTCTGCCGGTAGACGTTGTTCTTCTGTGGAAAGAACGTTGCATCGAAGTCATCGGTGATGCCAACGCTGCTGCTGCCGCGTCCGCCACCGGAGGGCTGAAAGAAATCAATTAAGTGACCCACTTGTGGCTTGTAACGCTCCAATGCTTGTTCGGACCACGTGTACAAACGATTCCAGTCGTGCGGTGCCGCGGGTATCAATTCGATTGGTCGATTCAATAGTATCAGTATTTTGGCAAGATCACGTACTATCGGTCGATAGGAATTCGCTGCGCTCACCTCACCCGACAAATACAATTTGCGTATTTGGCGTCGCGTATCGTTGAGCATCGCTAGGAAATATTCTGCATTCGGACGCATTTCGTTGAGTTGTCGCAGAAAATCGGAACGATCCATGGTATTCTCGTTGATCAGCTTTTGCTTGATGGATTTACGTCTACGTCGACGTCGCACCAACATCATGGCGACAGCTAGTAGCGTGAGACAAACCACAAAGCCGCCTATTAGTCCTGCAATAGCGGCCATGAGCGGACCCGAGTAACCGGTGGAGACGCAGACGCGTCCCATAAATTCGGTATGCGCCGACCATTGATCGATGTAACCAGAAGGGCATTGCTCCACACACTGACGTGTGTCGGTCATCAGATAGGCGGGGCACTTAATGCAACCCTCGCTGTTGCAGCGCAGGCAATGTGAACTCGTTGTGGGCGGACAACCTGCAAGAAAATACGAAGATTAAATTCGTTTCATTGATTAAAATTATTTTGTAAATCTTATTACATAAAAAAGGGATATATTTAGAAAGGCTTGTGTTTACTATAGGACCATCCTCAGRTTTACTTAACTGGAATGGACCCTCATTTATATTCAACATAAGATGCCCACATTCTCAAAACTACTAAATAAATGTTGCTACACAAACATTATCCTTCCGTCCATCCGTTCATTCGTCCATCTATCCTTCAGCCCTTTGTTCCGTTCGTTTGTTCATCGGCCCTTTCGTCCATTCATCCTTTTAACATCCCGCCGGTACATCGATCGTCTATCCGACACTCCRTCCRTCCGTTCGTTCATTCTACCATCCGTATGTTCAATCGCCCGTCCACCCTCCGGTACATCGTTCGTCCATCCGACCATCCRTTTCTCCATCCATCCATTCAACGGTCCGTTYATCCGCCCAAMAATGGACAAACAAGCTAGTGATACGTGCGAGGGGATGTACCGGAATAGATAAGCAGACCGGCAGCCAAACGGATGGGCGGATAGATGGTTGGAGTGGGCAATGGGTGTACGTAGTGACGARCGGATAGGCCGYCGGACGRAAGCRTAAATGGTRGAGCCAACGGATGAACSACGAACGGGCATATAGATGGACGGGCAGACTAACGGGACGAATAGACGGTTAGATGAAATGGATGGTCGGACGGGCGGATAGACGAACGTTGCACAGGCGGATAGTTGGCCAAGAACRCCATTCACTGGAAGGGGTTGGTTAAAGTGTTGATAGCTCCACTATGAATGGCGGTCAGTACCTTTTGGAAGTTAGTTGCGTCCGAAGTCCGGTCGACGTATTGTTCGATGTATTAATTATTACTGTGTAACACCAAGTGTGCTGAGTTTGAGRCCCGCCACTTAGAAACCACTCCCAATGAAAAAGAAACAGCCTTGGATGAAAGATTCCACTTTTGTTAACGACCACAGTGAATGTAGTAAAAATTACGACTTCAGGTCCCTAAATAGGGCAGGTGCGCAAATTCGGTGTTCGAGAAAAATTCAGTCGTCGAGGCATTCTCTCCAGYGAACGAGCGTCTRGTTACAATCATCATCAGAGCAAAARTGTCGAACCATGCCAAAACATCTACAAATAGGTTGAGGCTGATCGACTTCGCAGGAGCCCGATATATGGATGTTGCAGTATKAGATTCCACCACAAGAAAATTTACCAAGCTACTTAGCTATCTCTGGATCAAAAGTTCAAAACCAGATCGATCATGTTACGATAGATGGGCGACATGTCTCCGGTGTACTTTACGTGCGTACACTATAAGGACCGAACGTCAACTCGGACCACTATCTAATTATAGCGAAAACACGCGCTCGCCTCTGTRCAGCAAAKCATGCCCGTCAACAAACACAGGGAAGATACGTCGTCGAGAACTTACTATCACAACCCACAACGGAAATTGACTTGAAGTCTTGCTCTCTGAGACCACTCATCAGCAACTCGGTACTGAGTGAACTGTGGGACGGTATTTCAAGCTGGAAAATCTACTATCTACTACCACCATGTGCCAAACCTTGGAAAGGAAAGGAAGATCGACACACACCACCTCTTCGTCGATTTTAAAGCAGCACGAAAAKGAAGTGCCTCAATGCTCCATTGTCTGAACTTTGTATCACCGCAAAGCTTATACGGTTGTGTAAGCTGACGTCAAGTAATATTGAAAGCTCCGTCAGGATCGGGAAGCATCTCTCCGAGCCGTCGGATACCAAGCAAGACTTTTGGCAAGGTTACTCCCCTTCGTGACCGCGTATGCGGCCTACGCCAGTAAAGAAGGCGAAGARTTGTAACTTGTTGCGACAGTATAAGTCAGRAAAGTATAAATTATATTATTTCTTCTATCGCCAACAAACTCTCTTTCCCAAATTGATGMRTGCGCATAGCCTTCAGTGCAAATGATTTAATACTAAAATCGAGTATGATCGCTAAAGCCGATTAGGCACTGCTATTTATGAGTGTAAACAATTCACACATACACATGTACATATTGCACACACACAGATGCATTTAAAATTGTGTATTGTGTTGTGTATGTGTTAGAGCAGTAATATATCATTAGTGGTCAGGTGCCGCCGCCGCCGATGTCGTTATCAGTCAGGCTATTTGTCATAATTACAATATTTAAATCAATGCAATGGATAATTATGTGCTTAAGCGCACATTTAAATGTTTCAATGTTCAAGTATGTATGAGTRTGTATATTTTGGGTTTCTTTTACYCTTCGTAGTACGCTGAAGAGCTTACCTATTTATAATTACTTGAAAATGGAAATATGCATACAGTAGTGTGCAATATAATGGAAACGTACATTTTTGGTGTCAAATTAATATTAAAATAAAATACATTTATTGTGAAAAAAAAGCACACGGAAATTGTAACAAAACTGCCCGGGTGACTGTTCTTAATTACTATGCCAAATATGAGCGCCATCTGTCAACCAGTTTGTTTACAGCAGCTGCTTAAGTCGGTACACCTCAGCAGTGCGTTGCGATTTTTACAATGGATAAAATGATCAAACAAAGATTTTGTCTAAAAATTTGTACCTATAACAAAATTTTGTGTTCGGAATCGTTGCGAATGTTGGAAAAGACTTATGGTCTTGAGATCTTAGAAAACATGCCTCGTTCTGGACGTCCTCTTCGACTGATGAAAATATTAAAAAAAAACAGTGAAAGGTATGGTGTTTGAAAATTATCAAGCAAGTGTTAGAGAGATGGCAAGAGAGCGCGACAACTCTTGCGAGTCCGTTTGAATGATTTTGGTGGATATTTTGGGTACGAATAATATCTGTCTCTTATACACATCTAGATGTGTATAAGAGACAGTAATTCAACAATCATCGGAATGGAGAAAAAATAGCCGAAAGCAAATAAAATAAAAATAAAAAAACATGCCGAACTCGTCCAAAATCAAGGTGATGCTCATTTTTTGCGATATTCTTGGTTTGGTTCATCATTAATTTGTTTCAGCCGTATTGAGGCGATTGCGTAAGAACATCCGTCGAAAGCGGCCAGAATTGTGGAAGAACAATTAATATATTCTCCACGAAGACAATGCACCATCGCATCTGRCCATGGTTGTGACCGAATTTAAAACCAAAAACGCAATGAATACCGTCGATCAACCAGCGTATTCACCAGATTTGGCTCCGTTTGATTGTTTTTTTTTTTTTGTTCCCCGAACTGAAATTGTCGCTCTGTGAAACCAGTTTTCAGTCGATCGAAGAGGTAAAACAAAATTTCTTTTAAGGTTTCGAGGACTGGAAGAATCGTTGGCATTAGTGTATTACATCCGGTGGTGACTACTTTGAATGCAACAAAATAATATTAAAGAAAAATTAAATATTTTGCATTTTATGTACGATTTTCGGGTACTTTTTTGCCACAAAGTATGGAGATATAAGTCCAATATATATTTTTTAGTTTAAACAAGTTAATCTGTGGCACTTGAGTTGAAATCCCAACCGAAATAAAATTTAGAAAAGATTTTCTATAAATTCGATCGCTTAGATCTTGATTTTGAATACGAAAAATATTCTTAAACGAATTCTCCAGTTTGGGGGACGCTTCATTTTTAGAAATAACATAAAAGTTTAAGCATCAAATTCTTAATTTTAATATATATTGGTTCCATGCTTGCAATAAATAGAAGGCTTGTCCTAATTAGCCGCACAGCGCTGTATATGCAAAAGCACTTGTCGTCTGAGCTTATAAATTTTCAAGTGTGTATGTGTTTTCACATAATTATAAGCTCATAAGCTTATCAGTTTGAAACAGTGGAACCCGGAGTAATCCAGTAAAAGTGACACGCTCTCATGATAAAAGCATATTTATGTATGGATCCACGAATATACGCATATTTAAGTAGACGGAGGCAAAAACAAAAGTGAATTTTAAGCAACGGCGGCATTTCATACATACTTACATGCATCCAAATACATATAGTACAAAATAAATATGTATGTATGTCATAGTTATTTTGTACCATATGTATTTGTCCATTTTATATGAGTACACATGGCAAGAAATCAAGCGACGTCTATACCAAGAAGCGGTCAACAATTTGTTGTTGCCACAAATATATTCTGGGTATCGGAGTAAAGGAATTTCGACTGCCGGCCGAACACGACAGCTGGGAAAGTTTAGTTAGTATTCTACAGCGGCTTACATTTTAAAACTCTGCGCGCGAGTAAATATAATATTTTGCAGAAACGCAAAAAAAGTAAAAAAAAAAAAATAAATAAAGGCAAAGTGAGGAAAACGAGAGAATACAAAGTAAACAAATGAAAAAAGGCGTGTAAAGGCTTAAAGCAACAAGCASCGAGATCAAAGCCGCCGACGGCAGTRAAAAAAATGTCRCATACTCTTGCCAAGTGTGGAGAGAAGGCCAGCCAAGACAGTGGACCGGGCGGTCAGCCAAAATCAACGGAGGCAGGCAGAAAGCCAGCTGCTCGCTATTTGACTATTTGGCGTACAAAGAACGCATGCGGTCCAGCAATAACAAAAGTGTAAATATAGACCGTTGCGAAATAGCCCCACGTAGCGTGGCATTGCCAGAGCAATAAACAGACCAAAGCGGCGTTACAACGTCGTAAAGTTGAGCTGCCAGGCAAAGGGCTCACATGCATTACTCTACATTTGGATATGCATGCATACATACATATATATATACTACATACACACGCACATATGAATGTTGCGTGCAACGAGGATCATTAAATGTTGCCGCGCTGCAGTTAGCGCCAATCCACTGGCTGCAATGCTATCCATGGACCAATGAGCCCCCAACCGGCGTTAATTTGCAATATAGCGTACTTTCGTGTGTATGTGTGCACCGCAAATGCTGCGCATGCGTGTCTTGTGTGTGTGTTACTCTGCAGTTTCATTCTCATTTCTGTTATTCTAGGCGTCTGCTTTTGCCATTCAACTCGGAAACGCTCGCTTATCGATTGTGCTGCCGCGATAATCAATACTTCATGTGTGCCATCATAGGCAGACGAGCGAACAGCCCTTACGGCAAGCAGCCGCCGCAGCCGAAGCATCAACCATTCAATCTCGTCTGTCCTTTGGTCTTTTGCGTTTCTWGGCGCGGACGCGTATTATTGGAATTAACTTGTTTATTYGCTAATAAGCTGGAAAATTATCCATCACACGCGGATATGTAATTGAGATTGACGTATGAACCAGTTGCGGCTCTAAAGTGACCCGTCGCAGCGTCCATCATCATACTCGATCGTTACACCGATGTTCGTTGGACAAATAACCGAAGGTGCTGACGACGGCAGGCGGTGGTGTCTCAGCGAMGACGGCATTTCAACCACACAAACATTGAAACACAAATGGTTGATAGTTGCTCGGTTGCTTGCGGTCAGGTGGACGGTTGGCTGATAGTCGCTTTTAATGATAGGGTTTCGGTGGYCGTGATGGCAGGTTGGCCGGTTGCTTGGTGCGAATAATGGCTTGAAATTGTGTCTATTTATTTATTTSCGTGCCGACTTTTGATTGTTTAGCGGTTATTGATAGGAAATGTGTTATAATTGGCATGAAGTGAAATTCATGCTTGAAGGAGCATTTATAACCACGCGAAAGCAAAAAAAAAATGTGTTTTATTTTTTTGGAAGAGGCATTTTAGTTAATAATTGTTATTTACAATTTCACGCGCTTTTATAAGCCCTTGCTCCCGCAGAAGAGCATTTGAAAAAAATTGTCTGGCGATGAAGAATTTTTGGTTAAAATTATCTCAAATCCAAAAACATAACAGAGTTATTATTACTATAGATGAATAACGGTGTAAAAATTTACCCTTCCGAGTGGCTGAAAAAAATGAATTATCAATGTAATTCCTACAGTCATTACTTGATTACCTCTAAGATGGAAAGTTACAAGTCAATTATCGGTCCAGCCGTTTCGAAGAAATTCTCCTCGCCTAAACTGCGATGCGAAAAAAAAATACTTGAAAAGTTTTGGAAGCACTAAGACGAAGAGAAGGTTCGTCACCGCGCTGTACATTCTGGGTAACGCTAAATGACGAGCCGCCTTCACGGCCTTTTTTAACTCCTACGGATCGTTGACCCTTAGCTTGACACGGCCATAGCTTGGGCTATTAGTTAGATTGGTTTGAAACCAGGGCTGGTGGTCGAGGTATTCTGTCATCTGAGTAATCAGGGATGACACCATGTAGAAATGACTGATTGGATCACACCAAGGCTGCCTCCATACCGTTAAAATTCCCAAACATTATCGCAAACGGCTCAAGCCACTAATATCAAAGTTTACAAAGAATGTACTGCTATCCGTGTTGCTGGGCATAAACTCAAGAACAAATTTTACTCGGACTTAAAATACGCCCGCAAATCGCATCGGTAAAAAATTTGCTCTTGGCAGTCGGCCGGCCGTCAGAAACTACGCCGGACCTATATGGTCACCTGGATGTAGTATAACGCAGAAGAAGAAGCTTCAGACGTGTCAGAATACTGCTCTCCGGACTATCACAGGATGCTTCCTGATGTCTCCGGGTGAGCACTCACACAGCGGGGCACATACATATGTACGCTTCTGTTTAAGAAACATAATGAGCTCATCTCTAAGCAGTTTTGGCTGGAACGTTTTCGCAGGAACCATACTCTGTTTGAAGC